CTTCCAATGGTATTCAAAGAATGGAATTATATTTAAATTCTGTTTCTTTAAGTGTTACTATATTCAAAAGTTATAAAATCTACCTGCTATAAAGAGACCAGGTAAACCAGGCTTATCAGACATAGTATCCATTACATACAATGGCATCAGCATATCTGTAGATGTTATTCTCTTTTGAAGCAACGGATCACACTTATAATATTTACTATATATTGCTAATCCTGAGAAACACGTAGTTATTGAAAGTATTGTCAAAATAGGCCATGCTATCCAAAGTGCTTTCTGTGCTGCTTTTATATCTCTAAAAATATTGTATAAATTAATAACATTTCTTCTTCATTTATTCGTTGTAATACTTACTTTACTGTTAGTAGACGCTGCACTTGAACCTGATTTACGCCATACAATGATAGGAACGTGCATAAACCTCCAATAGTGAGCGACCACCAAGTATGTCGAACTGTGGGGTCTATCGAAATACTTGGAAAATATTTTATAATTAATTACTTGAAATTCATTTTTCATCGTGACGTGTATCATACCTGTCGAATTCAATTCTACTTCCTTCCTCTGCTATCTGCCAGATTTTGCCTATACTTCCAACTTCATTAGCAGCTGTAATAATAATAATAAAGACAGAAACGAACATCAACAATCCTTGAAACACGTCTGTGATCAGGACGGCTTTGATACCCCCTATGCTTGAATAGAAGGCGCAAACTAAGCCTATGATAATAATGCTGCCAGTTTTAGAAATTCCTGTCGTTGCCTCTAATGCTAAAGCAGGAGCATATAGTACAACACCGGAATACAAAAGCAGTTGCAGCCAGTACACAAAACTAGCCATCATCCTAGCTTTTACTCCAAAACGTTTTTCTAAGTACTAAAAAGAAAAAAAAAAGAAACAAGTAATTAAATAGATATCATTATCTAAATTATGTTTATTAGACAGACCTCATAAGCGCTTGTTGCTTGAAGTTTAAAGAATACTGGTAAAAATCCATAACAAACAAGAGGAGTTCCTATGAGGTATGATAAATTAATTACTACAAATTGTGTTCCATATGTGTAATTTTCTGCAGAGACACCTAACAAGGTAATTGCAGACATGAAGGAAACGACTAGTGCAACACCTACAGGCATGATACTCATGGACCTGCTGGCAATGAAATATTCCTGTAAAATAATGTTAGTTTAACATTGTTTTAAAAAGAAACTTACAATTTTAAAAGAATGACATACACACCTCCATAGTTTTTTGTCGTCCACCACTGAACCGATAGTAGATGCCTATGCCCACACTTATGAATAATGTAGCTGCTATAACCAAGTAATCTTCCCATTGTAACGTACCTTTTTCCATGCTATTGTTCTATTCACACAAATGAAGAATACTTTATTAATTTTATTTATTTTTATAGATACACCACAGTTTACTAACCAATGAATAATACCATCCAAAAAGAAAGTATTGTGATAAATTGTATCCAAGCTGTTAAGATGCAATCTAATCTACACTAGGTCTGCTTTATTAAGCATCATATCTTTACAATATGTTAAGCATTATTTGCCAATATTATCTGTTACAAGCTCACATTGTTATATCATTGATGCTAAAACTCACATTCTACTGTAATTCTTTTCAGAGTGAAAAAGGAACTCTCTTTCAGAGAGAGAAAAAAGTATTACTTATGAAATCTAAGTTCCAATGAAATCATATGAGAAACAGATTAATTCGTACAAAGATCAAAGAAGTTCATGTGCAAATGGTGCTAGCTTTCCCATCATGAAGAAAACGATTTAGTTATATCATTTAATACCAATGTTAATACAACAATTTGCAATACTGAGATTATTACAAACATTCGTTTGACCGATATCTGTTATCAACCGCGTGAGGGTTCATGTAATCATATCTTTTTCAATGATTTAAATCGACGTCATGGATTGTATCAAGGAATTAGCTGCAATCGATCACGATGATTCTCGTGCTTGTTAAGCCGTGTCAACGATAGTTCACGCTGCTAGAAAGAAGCTAAGAAGAATTAAAGTGTCGCACATGGAGCACGTTGCTCGACTTACCAGGAGTGTCGCGATGTCGTTCGCCGATACAACTGGCAAAAGTGTTTCGCCACGTCGGATCGCTCTTGATCCGCGTCGCGAAGGCTCTGACCCTTCTTAACCACTGTTAGTGGATTTTAACGCGCTCGACACTTCGCGTGAAAAAACAGTCGCGTTAGTATACAAGGACACGTGGGAAGGAGGCAGGCACGCGCAATAACTATATTCGAGTAACGCGCATGCAAAGTTTAAACGGTATGAGAATACCTATTTCAAACACGTTTTCATACATCTCAATTCAAACAACGGAATTTTATCAAAATCTTTTGTTTAAGTTGGAACATTTCGAAGATTATTTTTCCTTCGTTAATGTATCGAGCATTGAGGATTTGTTAACTTTAGAAAATGTCAGATTGGTGAACTTGGAAGATTGTCCTTTCTTGTTGATGAAGTGTACATTTAATCGGCGATTAAAAAATCAAGCTCCGTTGAGAGTTGTTAATCTTAGAAAATATCAGTATCTCATCGTGATCTTTCATTGGAAATGAATTTCTAACTTTAGGTTGGAAAACTTGAAGGATCGTCCTTCTTTGTATACGCGGTGTGCATTTCATCAATGATGAACTCTGGGAATTTATTGCGAATTCCAATCTCCTGGGAAATATCGAAAATTTTGCATACTCTGAGGAATATTAAAATTCTTCTATGAAGAATCTTCGTCTTGAAATGGAACATAGAAGAAGCTTGTAAATTTCTCAATTTGAATTTCGATAAATAGACCTTCATATCTGAAAACTAATTAAGGAATCTAAAACTAATTAAGTTTTCGTAAGAGAAAATTTCGAGCTTGTTGATTTTGATTTATAATCAAGATTGTGCGATATCTTTTTGCTAGTAGGAGAAATTGAATTTGTTTTAAACTCAATTTAATGGTACAAACACGATTCAAAGCTTCCACAATGAGAACCACTGTTCTCCGGTTTTGAACGGAGACTATCGTCATCCGGGCAAAGGTAACCGGCGTTTAAATATTCAGTTTGCCCAAATGAATGCAGCTGTTGAACAAAGTTAATCATTTCTTTTATTCCGAGCAACAAATATTAATATGTATTTCAAACGTTTATTTTGTTGAACATTTTAAGATCCGTCTTGTTTCATCACGTGAAAACGTAATTACTTGCACTTGCGTTATGCAAAAATTATGCAACATGTGGCTGATGTCCCAGTTTAATTGTTAGATAGGAATTCAATTGATTGGATGAAACTCGACAAACTCGGTAAACTGAAGAATTCACTGGCTATAAATTCTTCAATTACGTAAGAGTGAAAAATTTCACTCTGTAAATTTGATCTTGAACTGCAATAGTAGTCGGGAAGAAATATCTGCAACAATATACTGAAAATTGTGAAATGGACCGTAAAAATCCATAAAATAAAATTATTCGAATTCGATTAAATATCTTTCTCGATGCAGCCATCGATTAATAATATTTTTCTCGTTTTCATTGATACCTGATTTCTCGGAGCCACGGATACTTTGTCTCGAGGTTGGTCGATCTCTCGCAGCTCATTCGCGCAATCGACTCGTTTGAAATAATAGATTGCAGCGAGAAATGTGTATAAAATTGTTTGTCGCACTATAGCGATGACAAACAAAAAGCCATTTGCTTGATCAAAGAAAAATAAACAGTTATTGCCATTTTTTGCTAAAAACGTTCAATTCTTGCAATATTATCGCGTTTCACTGTGAACGAGTATCACCTAACCTTAACCTAACTTCAATCTGCTCGTTTGAAATGGCAGATTACAGTGACAAGTGTGCGGAGGATTGTTCGTTCGACTATGGCGATGACAAACAAAAAGGCGTTTGCTTGATCAAAGAAGAGTAAGTAATTATTGCCATTTTTGCTAAAACGTTCAATTCTTGTAGAATTATCGCATTTTCACAGTGAACGAGTATCATCTAACCTAACCTAACCTCAATCTAATCGAGCGCATGGTGTTCTGTCACAATACAAACCTTTTAGTCGAATAACGTAAAACTATGTGATAAAAGTATTAATTATATTGTGGTATTTTCTTAAATGATTTACTTTCTTCCTTGACGGCAAGGACTTTTCATTGACGTGTAATACAATTATTGCAGGTTTATATTGGAAGATCGTATTAGACATTTAAGTGATGACACTTCTCCATTGGACGATCCGCCATCCAAAAAAATCAAATATGATAATAAGAAAGAGAAGCATAGAGGGCAAAACAAGGCAAGGCCACCGCCATTTAAGACACAGCGCAAACTGAACTTGTGCCCCAAGATAGCAGATCAAGCAGTGGACGAACCTGAAAAGAAATGCGACAATGGTCAATGTATATTCCTGCACGACAGAGTTGAATATTTGAAGATCAAGCCAGATGACATTGCTGATGAATGTTGCATCTTTGAGCTCACTGGCAGATGCCCCAGAGGCATTACTTGCAGAATGGGTTCCAAACATTTGACTAAGGAAGGTTTGAATATCGTTGACAACGAGAAACTGGAGGAATTTGCGAAAAGACCACCTTCTATGAAGAATCATTTGACTAAAGATATTCAGACTCGATTAAGAAAACACAAGTATAATTTTTCTAAAGCTGAAAACATTGTTAAGGCAAACGGGCCATCTAGGAAAAAGGTAGAAATAAAAAATGTTACAGCAGAACCAAGATTAGAAAATATTGAACAAGACTTAGGGATAAAAAATGTTGAAGAAATTGACAAGCTGTCGGAGAAAGATAAACTGGAGATAAAAGACAGTTCAATATTAGATACTTCTATCAATGAATCTAAGAACGAGACCATTGAGACTCAGAATACAATAAAAAAACTTGGTCCTGTTGAAGATTACGATTTGATCAAATGTAGGTACTCGGAGAAGAAAAAGGTTGATTGGAAAAATAAGATACTGTTGAGTTCATTAACTACAGTGGGCAACCTGCCGTTTAGAAGAATTTGTAAAGAATACGGAGCAGATATAACTTGCGGAGAGATGGCTTTGGCACCAAAGATACTGCAAGGAGCTCATGAAGAATGGGCACTAGTGAAAAGGCACGAATCAGAAAATATCTTTGGTGTACAGCTTTGTGGGAACAATCCGGGAGTATTAACAAGATGTGCACAGTTGCTAAATGAAGAAATCGATGTCGATTTCATTGATTTGAATCTTGGCTGCCCTATAGATTTAATTTATAGACAAGGAGGAGGAAGCGGTATGCTGAACCGACTAAATGTTTTAGAAACTGTTGTGAAATCTGTTAGCCAAGTTATGAATATACCTTTAACTGTAAAAACTAGGACAGGTGTTTATATAGACAAACCTATTGCACATACTTTAATGCCAAAGTTTGTTGATTGGGGTGTGTCCATGATTACTGTGAGTAAGTTAATTACATTTTGAAATCTGTTGTTTTAAAATCTCAAGAAATCATGTTGAAAAATATCCACTGTTAATTGCGTAAATTAATTAATGTAGGTTCATGGTAGATCACGCGAACAAAGATATACGAAATTAGCCGACTGGAATTACATAGAAAAATGCGCGAAAGCGGCAGATCCCGTTCCAGTATTTGGAAATGGAGACATTTTATCATACGACGATTATCAAAGAGTGCGGGACGCATATTCTACTATCTATGGAATCACCATAGGACGTGGGGCATTGATAAAGCCATGGATATTCACCGAAATAAAAGAGAAAAGGTTAATAGATATATCGAGTACAGAAAGATTCGAGATTTTGAGAAAATATGCCAAATATGGCCTTGAACATTGGGGCTCGGATACTCGTGGTGTTGAGACGACGAGGAGATTCATGCTAGAATGGATATCTTTTTTGCATAGGTAACTTTAATTAATTATTATGTATATATATTTACATAAATTATTAAATTTCATTTTTAATTATAGGTATATTCCTGTTGGAATATTAGAAAGACCACCGCAAAGGATCAATGAGAGACCACCATTTTACAGAGGTCGCGACGACATGGAAACGCTAATGGCTAGTTCAAATTCTGCAGATTGGATCAAATTATCGTAAAATATTTTCACTCGCCATCGCATATTTAATGCAATTGCTTTGTTTAACTTGGATTTTATTTTCAGAGAAATGTTACTAGGAAAAGTGCCTGAAGGATTTAATTTTCTGCCAAAACACAAGGCGAACGCGTGGAAATGATGTATATGTCGTATACATCAGAACAGAATAGTTTTATATCGAAACATTCTCTCTGTTCTATTTTTATTAAATAGATTTATTGGAATAAATTGTAGATGAGAAGAGCAAAAAATCTTTTTTATTTTGTTAAACACTCACATGGACACTCACAAACAGTCACATGGACAAGGAAATAAACAGCTTCGATAAAACGAATCATATAGATTACAAATTTATATATATTTGATAATATACATAATGATTCTGTATAAGAATTTTTTTGCACCACTAAATGTTCAATCGTTTAAAATTTGAAGAAATTAAAAGAATTTTGACTTCTTAATCCTTAATTTCTCTGATATAATATGATGCAAGAAACTATTGGTGATTAATAATGTTTAGTTATATCTCCAAGGACAGATTTTGGCCACATACAATCACAACCACTGGAAATTTGTTTGATGAAAGGTTCCCAACACTCGTTTTCCCATCGTCGCCTTACCAATATCAAAGTTCTACTTCTTTGCACGCAATGAAAACCATTATATACGCATTTCTGAAATAAATATACTCCACTTAATACAAGAGAAGAAACAAGAGATCTGCTTCTATGGAGATCTTCCAAAACTAACCATCGGTAAAGATCAATATTTTACGCCATTGTATTCACAAGATACAATTATAGAAATTTATAGAACGTAATATAGAAATTATTATCGTAGAAACTTAATATATTATTAAAATACTAACTAAATTAACTTCAATCAACATACAACTTTATTCAGGTTTGACTATCAAAGTAAAACAATCGTTTCTCTTTCAGGATTCTCTGGATTCCCAAGAAACGCCTAACTTACCAACTATAGTATTCTCTACCCAATGGGTATATATATATATTCTAAATCATTTTGCTTAAGATTTTTTTTTTATTTTTCTAAAATCTACCTGCTTTGATGGATTGGCACGTTGCAGGCTATCTAGCAAAGCGTTACTTTTACAGTAAACCTCGTGATAAAGAGGCGGTTGATACTCGTACTCTGAATCGTCTAGTTGCACTGTTTCCGTTACAGTTTCGCATAAACTATAGTACTCCTACAGACAAAGTGCAAAATGTTAAATTTCGCTTTTCATTTATTTCTTTTTATTGGGTACATCACGACTGACAGGCAATGAATTTCTATTGCCCCGACTGAGGATCCATTGCCTCTTCCCAAGTTTCTCAGTGTGATCTTCTTCATCAGGTAGGTGGAAAACATCCTGTAAGTTCCTTTCATACATATTTCTTAAGTCGTGGTAACTTCTGTTACATTTTTTGCAGAGGTCATAGCTCATTTGCCCTGACACTGCCATAGCTGCTAACTGGAAAAGAAAAGTTTCTAAATTATAGAGCAGGGCTACGCATTTTTTATGAATTTTTTTTCATAAACAAACTTCTTGCAACTTTAAATTAAGAGATGAATATTCTTCAAACATGAATTGTCCGGTAAAAAAAAAGGTTACATTGCAGAGAAATGTAATTCAAGAAATTGTGAATCGCATAATGGAAGAATTAGTTACAAACATGACAACACCGAGATCAGATATAGTAAGATTTTGGCTGTAACAAGGGGGAGATATTAAAAAGCTAGAGGCAACAAAAAAGTTGCGAAAAACGAGCCATTGATAATCGACGATCGTTCTAGCGTTTTGTCAGTTGCTACATTATTAAATGACCGATTCACTCCACTTCCATTCCCACTTGGCAGAACCCTCTGCATACGATTTATGCTTTATCAAGTTTGATGGTCTCTAACTCTGACTGAGACCTCCGTCGATGCTTGAATTTTAACGATGACGCAACATGACGTCACGAAATATCATTAAGGACCCGTGGCATCATCATTTTTTTTTTTTTTCTTACCATTTCAATTGAAACACAAATTACCTTTATGAAGTACATACAACGAAATTCTCACAAATGTTGCATAAAATTAATTAATAAACGCTTGGAATTATGGCAAGAGCAACAACATGATGAAGTCGTGTTAAAATAGTTCAATGAAAATCATTAGTTGAGACTTAACTTAAGAGAATTAATCGAGCTAGTCTCGTGATCAATTGGTTAGTGATGTCAGAAATCAGTGTGCCGTTGACGAATCTTTAAAGACGATGATACTCCCGCGAAAAATAGAGTATGAACCGGTCAGCAAGGTCGATCGTGATTGAGCTGACGTGCTTCGCGTCGCACGATATAAATTGGTCTTCCCCGTGCCGATCTCCGTGGCTCTGCCTTTCAATTGACTGTGGAATAGTATTCACCTAGCAAAAGCACAGGAATAATTTGGAAGTAAACTTGATGACAAGGTAATTTCCTTTGCCAAAAAATTTTTCTCCAAGTAAAATCACTGACAAATAAAAGGTCAGAATCGTTAGATATTGTAAATGCTACACTTTGGGTATTTTATATTTTTGGAATGTATGTTTACACGTTACGTGCTTTCTGAATAATCTTCTACTTTTGAATTCTTGATAAGTGCACGAAAATCGATAGCCTAATGATTCAAGGTCCAAAAAAATAAAAATTCAAAGTTCCATCCAAGCTCTCTTCTTTCGATAATATTTGCCAAAGCCTGATTCAACGACAGCTTTAATACTTCAAGGTGTTCGAAAACCAAAGTGTTGATCATCAAGTGACCAAAATTAAAAGCGAATTAACAGTTTCAGGAGGGGGTCAGGGGAGGTCATCAGCTCGAACCAAGCGTATTCTCCACGCGGTGGCACGTCGGTGTGTGGTAGGTAGTTATCCAATTGACAGTGCCCCCGTCTGACATAGTTCAGTCGACGACGAACTCAGGATGATCCGACTGCATCTCTACCAGCAGTGACGTTTTTCTAACTCTGCGTTCCAGTATCCAACGAATTGCGTTCATCCAGCGTGTGCTTCGTCCAACTTTGCCTCCCAACTTTCCTCCCAACAAGAAAATAACATAGTGAAAGGGCCGTCTACGTTACTGTAATCGTTGAGAATATATCGACATGACGGTCCCTATAAGATTGTCCAGAGACACGATCGTGCTTTGGGACCGGCTCGCTGGTCCAGTGAGAACAAACTCGGTCAAGGTTGACCGCTGTCAGTGAAACTGATCCTTTTTTTTTTTCTGGCTGCTCTAGAGCAGCCGGTGACGCCGGTTCTACCGACAGCTTCTTCTGGAACAAACACGTGTCCAAGTGGGGGGAGATGCAAGAGGATCAGCGCGATTGACATGGCAGCCGACCTGTACGCGAATGGATCCGTGAAGTCAACGTCCGGCAGGTGAGAGATACAAGCAGATAAGAGATAATTTCAGATAAGCTCCTGGGCTTCTTTCTCCTCTCCGTATGCTTTGATGTTTGCTCATTGGCCAACATCTATGAGGACAAACTGGATGGAAATGGAATGACAATCCATGCCTCGAGCCAGTATTATTGATTGTGAATGGAAAAATTGGCAATCGTTGGAACTGTTTGCTTGGGGCTTCTGAGAAATTGGCTGAAGTGTTTGCTCTTGAATGTGACTGGAGGATTACTGGTTGCAATGAAAGTGTCGGAATAAGTTAGAATAGAAAATAGAAATTATCATTTTTCTAGAAAAATTACACATTTGAATGGTTTTCTTGTAAAACAGTACATGAACAAAAAGCATGTAGCTTTAGTTTTGATTTCTTTAGTAAAATTCGTCGATCCTCTCTTTAGCAAGATTTTCTGAACAAGTAGATCAACGTGAAATATGTAAAACATATGTTAATTGATATAAAGTAGCATTAGGATTCGGTGAAGCAAGTATTATGTAAAATGTTACGTCAGAATTCATGGAATTCTAAAACGAAGAGAGGAATACTTGATACTCTGATGAAGAGATACAAACGGCAGTCTACAATTTTGATTGTTACATTGTTAACATTCTGGTTTTGGGATGATTCCTGCAAGAACGTGATTTCCTCACGTTTTTTGCGGCAATTTTCATGACAATGAAACCGTTTAATAGCCGTTACTGCTGTCTGAGTTAATAACCAATTGACCCTCGACCTCCTGAGCAAAGGTTCCATTGATGAACGCCGTTAGACAAAACTTGAACAGTTGGTCAACTCGACTAATATTTCATCGAAAGATATACTTCTGATTTTGAATATCAAATTTCAATTACTCGCGCACGACTGAAAAAACATTCAAACGAACAGAGGGAAAATAAATCAGGAAATGAATGGAAGCACGGGTCGTCTAATTTAAAATCATCAGGTTGTTGTGTGAATCACTTGACTTGATCTCAATGCAAAGTCGTTTCAATAAATTCACGTGGCATGTGGAAAATCACGACAGACGTGAGATTATTGTGACAGACTTCTCGAATTCTTCCTTTTCCTTCCCTCTAAATTCATGGTATTCTCTTTGTCGTTCGAAAGAATTAACGTACAGCCGAATGAGCGTTCACGTCAACTACTCAAAGAAAAAATTAAGCACAAACATGTGCTCTTTTTTGATAATATTGACAAGGATCAGCACAAGTGTTGACCTGTTTCTCGAACAGTTTTTGCCGGGCATTCCTCGTGGACAGTCGTCACACTCTTGTTTACTGGGTGTTTGCAAAGCGTATATTAAGCCCCTAATTTACATTTCTTAATATCCTTTGTACTGCCACCTCGAACTCACTCAGGGTCGAATGTTCCATTTAACTAACGAAAAACGATTTCGCTGTAGTTTCTCAAAAATAGAGTATTAACTGTAACTAAAAATTAATTGAAGAGGGAGTTCATTTAAATGTGTAAATTTCACCGTTTTTTTTTTTTTTTTTTTTTTTTTTTTTTTTTTT